TAAAGTGCTGGGATGATAGACGTGTGCCACTGTGCCTGGCTGAGAAACAGTTTTAATCTACTGACAAACACTGGTGAAGCCCTCCTCCCTGTCTGACTTTCCAGGGGCTGAGTTATCATCAGAAAGTTGTTTGCAGAGCAGGGCAGGCCAAGGGGTGTCAGGCTGGCCCCATCACAGGCTGGGTGCTGCTCCTCCTGGGCAGCGTCCATCTTTAGCTCTGAGCAGTCAGGGCTGGTCAGGAACTCAGCATCTCAGACAGGCTGTGTGGCCCTCGCTGCCCCAGGGGCGAGACTGGCGCCTTCCTCCACCACCCTGCCCCTCACTGCCACCTGAGAACACTTGGATGCGTGTTCTGTGTTCATGGCCACATCCTCTGGGGGCTTTTGTTACACCTCTCAGGTGACGCATTCCGTGACTCACCAGTTAGATGACTCCCTTCTGTCCTTGTTTCCTGAAACACCACCTGGGACTGTCTGTCCGTGCCCGTTGGCCCTGGTGGCCTCCCTGTGGCTGTGGTTACCCTGCATTCTTGCTGAGTTTTGGGAGGCACTCAGGTCCCCCCACTTACCTTTGGAGCCAACTCATGGCTGCTCCTGTGAGCACAAGCTGGTGTCCCCCTTCGTGGTGGAGACTGAGGCTCAGAAAAGTTCGCTCTCCAAAAGGGTGCCCTGCCATCAGCCGCTGTGGGCAGGCTGGGCTCTGGGCCCATCCTGGCTGGTGCATCTGTGCTCCAAGCAGACAGCGGGGCTCTGGCTGGGTCTCCTGGCCTAGGTGTTTCCTACGGTCCTGTGTGCCGGGAGCCTAGAGTGAGTGGGTCAGGCAATGTCCCCTGCCGAGGTTTCCTTCAAGGCTCTTTGGGAGCCAGAGGCGTGGCAGGTCCGCCCATGGCCTCAGGGTTCATTGTGCAGGAGGAGTTGAGGCCATCTGGGCCTGGGCCCCATTGCTTTGAGATGTATGAGACAAATACACCCTTCCCTCTACAAACGAGGGGTCACGCCCCAGGTTGGACCACAGATGGGGAAACTGAGGCTCAGTGAGGTGGCTGGCCCCTTGGCACCGTACCATCTGAGATCACCTTGCAGAGCAGTGGGCAGGGGGACTTTGGCAGTGTCGATCCCACCCCACTTCTGAGGAGGTGACCTTGTGTGGTCCTGCCCAAGGTGGGGGTGACGGGCAGGCATGGGGGCTGGAGTGGCTGACCCTGCCTGCCTGTGTCTGCCTGTGTCTCCAGGACAGTGGCTACCCGGAGACACTGGTCAACCTCATCGTCCTGTCCCAGCACCTGGGCAAGCCCCCCGAGGTAAGTGGCCCCCAGGGCTCCAGGCCAACCCTAATATCCTGACCCTGGGACCTCATCCTGGGGTCCAGGCCCTAATCCCTAGGCTTCTGGGAAAGCTCTGCACACAATGTGCCCACCGCAGCCTGCCTCCCTCACAAACCCTGCGCCCCCCCCAACCCATCCTCACCTGGGGCCCTGCCCAACCTGCTCCCCTGAACCCACGGTACATTCCCTACCACGTACAGAGGCCAGCGCCTTGTCAGGGGCCGACCCATCCCTCCACCCCCACCCTGAAGGTTCTCTGAGATCAGCCCAGTCCCAAGGCAGGATGAGGAGCGCCCTGGGGTACTGTGGCTCTCACCCCCATCCATCCCGTGCTGCAGGTCAGAGCCACCCTGGGGTCCCCATGTTCGACTCACCTGCCTTCCTGCCTCCCCTGCAGGTGACAAACCGATACCTGTCCCAGCTGAAGGATGCCCACAGGTCCCATCCCTTCATCAAGGAGTACCAGGCCAAGGTGAGTGGCAGGGGTGGCCTGTCCCTGAGAGCCAGGCCAGAGGGCGCCTGGAGCTCAGCCTGGGCTCACATGCGCCCTCTCTCTCTCCCTCCACCCGTCTCCCCACACCCTGCCCCCACCCCGTGTCGCCATGTGTCTTGCTGAAGGAGAACGACTTTGACAGGCTGGTGCTACAGTACGCTCCCAGCGCCTGAGGCTGGCCCAGAGCTGTCAGGACCACGAAGCCAGGACAGAGGCCAGGAGCCCTGCAGCCCTCCCCGCCTGGCACACACCCCACATCCCCTCTGGGGGCAGGAGCCCGCCCCCAGCACTCCCGTCTGTGAATAAATATCTCAACGCCAGCGTCCCACCTGAGGATGTGCTCTGGCCACTTTGCTGGGGGTGTGTGGGGGCTGACGCTCAGGGAGAGTCCCGGGGCACTGGCCCCCAGGGCTGTTCCCGGAGACCAGGGTCTGTGACGAGCAGCAGCTGTGCAGACCCCCACCCCGCCCCTCACACAGCCACAACCTGCTCCTGCCAAGCCAGAGGCAGCACAGCCCTGTCCCCACACTTCACCCTGGCCCCAAGAGGCCACTGAGCAGCCCAGGTTGGCATCGGGGGAAACTGAGGCACAGCGGTCATGCCACTATCATGAGGGGCACCACGATTCAAAATGAGAACCCCCGAGTGGTCTGGAGGTAGTGGGGCCAGGGCAGGAAGCACTCAGGCCTCAGCTCAGCAAAGCCGGAGGGGCCCTGTGGGGTCAGCATTAACCCCAGGAAACCCTCCTCCAAGGCAGAGCCCTGCTGTGGCCGGGGCCCCGGGGCCAAGCACCCAGCTGCGATGAGAGGCGGCTGCACCATAGGGAGGGAAGTGGGTGGGTGGCAGCGGGGCTGACTAGAGCCTCCCAGATGAAGTCACCATTGAGCTGTGTCTACCCAAACAACAAAAAGGAGCTGCCAGGCTAAGTTCTGGGGGGACAGGCACCCCAGCAGTGGGCATGACTGGCGCAGAGGTTCCTCGGTGGCACAGGGCTGTGAGGTCAAGGGGCGCTGCATGGGGATGCATGCCCCTTGACCTCTGAGTCTGGCCTGGGCTTATCTCCCAGGGTTTCCCCAAGCCCCACCCAGGCCTATTCATTTGAAACCAGACCCTGTCTCCCGTTGCCAGGGCAGGACAGCAAGCGACCCCACCCCCAGCCTGGTAGGGGAGGGAAGTGGCAAAAGAGGACTCCCTGGGCAGGGACATTAGGAGGGGTCCAGGGCGAGCTTCCTGGAGGGAGGAGACCTTGGGGTGGGTGCGGGGACACAGGCCTCAAGACTGACCTCCGCCCAGCCTTGGGTGCCTGGTCCCCAGCTGCCAGCAGAGCCGCCTTCCATTCCTGCCCTGCACCCACCCATTGGCAGCCTCCTGGCTGGACCCGCCAAAAAGAAATTCGAGGCTGAGCTGGGGCCAGTGGGTGGGTGGGTGGTGCCTCTCCCATGACCGATGGGCGCCATGGTGACCAGATAATGCTGGCTAAGAGGGTGGAGGGAGGTGACTGCCCCGCAGGCCTGGCTGGACCTATGAGAGCACATCCCCCTTGTCCCCCTCTGCCTGCCAGGCAGGTTGTGGCGTTAGTCACATCTCTGGCCTCCAGCTGGACCTGAACTATTGGCCAGGCCAGGCCTCATGCCCCCCACACAGTAGGCCCCCAGTCCATATGGAGTCCACATTCAAGAATAAGGAGTGGGGCCATGTGCAGTGGCTCATGCCTGTAATCCCAGCACTGGGAGGCCAAGATGGGCAAATCACTTGAGGTCAGGAGTTCGAGTCCAGCCTGGCCAACATGGCGAAACCCTGTCTCTACTGAAAATACAAAAATTAGCTGGGTGTGGTAGCAGGCGCCTGTAATCCCAGCTACTCGGGAGACTGAGGCAGGAGAATCGCTTGAACCGGGGAGGTGAAAGTTGCAGTGAGCTGAGATTGCACCACTGCATTCCAGTCCAGACAACGGAGTGAGACTCCAACTCAGAAAAAAAAGAATAAGGAGGAGCTCTATGTATGTAGGGGCAGATGGTGACAAGTGCCAAGCAGACATGAGGGGTGTGTGGGACTTCAGATTCGGTGGCAGCCTAAGCAAGCGACAGAAGAGCCATGCTGGTACCTAGGGGAACAGCATTTCCGGGGGTGGGGGGGAACAGTTAGTGCAAAGGCCCTGAGGCAGGACAGAGCTTGGCATGTTGGAAGAACAGCAAGAAAGCCCACAGATGGAGGGAAACAGGACGCTGTGAGGGCGGCCAGTGAGGACTTGGGCTTTCCCTGAGCAGGATGGGAGTCACGGAGGGCTGCAAACAGAGGAGGAACAGGCCCAACGTTGTCACAGCCTCCTTCTTGCCTCCATGGGGAGAGGAGGAAGCCAGGATACCTGACAGAACCCCGGAGGGAAGTGGTGGTCGGGGTTGGGGGCAAGGCTGTGCAGATGCAGAGAAGTAGCCAGATGCAGGGCCACCTGGATGTGTTGCAGAGGACTGGGTGTGGGGCAAAGGGAAGGTGTGTTCACCTGTGCCCCTGAAGGTCAGGTACAGGTGTGTGGGAGACAGCGCGGCTGCTGCAGGACTCATCCCTGCATCCTGCACCTTGAAGGCCAGGTGTGGGGACATCCTGGGGGCTAGGATTGCGGGGTGAGTGCAGCAGTGCCTGGGGAGGTGGCGGTCCTAACAGAGGTGACCCATATCTTCCTTGATGGCCTTCAGGGGCTTTGGGCACAGGGCCTTGTCAATGAACGGTGCATTGGAAAGTCACTTATGGTGGTCCCAATGATGTCATAGTCAATCCAGATTGGGAGTCTCTCCCGCGTTGGCACCCACTCCTGCAGCCTCTCTGCAACTCCTGTATTAACCTGATGTTGGGGAGGCCCCTGGGGTTCCCCAGGGTCACAGAGCAGCAAGTGACCCTCAGAGAACCCCCTAATCTCAGCAACCCCCATTACAGCTTTGTCTCAGTAGCCGGCTCTGCAGACCTCCAGAAGAAGATGCCTGGGAAGTGCCCAGGGTCCCCGCGTCCAGGCTGGAACCCCATTGTCAAGCTCCTGGTGTAGGGCAGAGGGCTGCGTCTCCACTAGGTGCGCTTCCCAACGCCCTGGCGTGGGCCGTTTTCTTTTGAAGAATGAGAATGTTTCATTGAGGCTACGCCTCCTGAATGCAGGAAGGCCACGGGATGGTCCCAAGACTGTGCCAAGGCGTGCCAGGCCTCGGGTCCTTGAGGAGCAGCGAGGGCTCTGAGAACGGTGAGGTCCGAGCCGGCCGCGGCGATGGAGCGGGAGCGGCGTGGCGTGCTGGAGGGCCGGGAGGAGCAGGAGGCCCTAATCCCTAGGCTTCTGGGAAAGCTCTGCACACAATGTGCCCACCGCAGCCTGCCTCCCTCACAAACCCTGCGCCCCCCCCAACCCATC